CTGTAGCGAGAACATGGGAAAAAGACATTCCCATGAAATCAGTCACTGAACAGCACAGGGAACAAACCTGGTGAATCCTGCCTGTGACATCAAATGGCCATGTACCGGATGTGTTTTAGGAGTAGGCTCTAAGGTGCACTCTTGTCCAAAATAAATTACAGGAAGAGCTCTTGCCTAGAGGTGCTGTCTAGAAAGTAGTAACAGGCAGTCTGTGCAACCAGGAAGATGGCATTTAGAATTATTTCCTTGGAGCAGAGAAGGGGCTCTGAAGGGTATTGTACTTCTGTAAGTGCTCATCCTGAGCACCAATGCAGATTAAAGTGTCTAAGTGGTTAATTATATGTAATTTCAGTAGGAAGGGGTGCTCCATTTTAGACTTCTCTAGCTCTTACATTTTTCTGTCAAGTGTTAACGGATGTTGGGGTAAAAACATCTTTAGCAAAATTCTAATTTAAAACCAAAATAATTGAGCAGACCTTTCTAGGACTGGGAACTTTGAGGGCTACCTTGAATTGTCAAGTCTTTGACAAACCAAGCGAGAGTGTCCATCTGCATTTCTGCCAGAGCTCCCTGGTTCTTTCCTCACATCTATACGATTGGTAGAGTGTTAACCTTCACCACAGAGCAAATATAAAGCACAGTTGACCCATCAGTCTGGGAGTTGTATGCATGTTGCTGAATCCCACTTCTGGAAAATCAGTGCAGAAAAACTGGGAAATGAGAGTATATTAAAAAAATAAATAAATATAACAACAGTGATGACAACGACGATTTTATTTTTATTATTATTATAATCATCATCATCACCACAGTAATTAATATAATAATTAATAATAATAATAATAATAATAACAATAATAATAATAATAATAAAGGTTGAAAATTGCACAGCTTGGAATTGGCAATGTCGGGCGATGCCCTAGTCCTTCCGAGCTCGTGTTGTCTACTCGGCTCTCCTCCCTGGGCTTCCCCGGCTGTTTTTGGGGCGAAACCTTTCTGCAGCGCCGTGTGCCGGCAGTGCCATCTACCGCCGGCACCTGGAGCCGGCTGCTTTTCCATGGCCGCGGGGTGGCTGCGGGGAGCCTCACGCTCAGAAGAAATAAATTTCTGGCTGACTGTTCCTCTTCTCAGCTGCCTGGGCACGAGGAAGAGCAGACACGGAGGCCCGGCTGTGCTCAACGGCCAGGCACAATCCGTTTTTTCATGTCTCAGGGAAAGATCTCAGCGCTGCTTCCTTGTTTGGAGCCTTGCATGTAGCAGTCACCCTTAAATCCAGGGTAAATGCACACGGTCATTTTTATGGTCTGGGGTAACTGAAAAGAGAGAGCATGTGCAAAAGCCCTTCAGAAACTGAGCGGAGGCAATTTTCACTAGGTATTTCTTTTGGATTAAGCTGTCTGGCTATACAAGCCAGGAACAGGCAGTACTTGAGAAACACTACAAGGCATGCAAGGAAAGCAGCCAGAGGGCATTAGGTAGCACTGGCCATTTTCTGGGAGAATGTAGGAGTAATACTTAATTTATTAGTACAACCTCAATATTTTGGTCAGTCCTGTCCAAGGACTGGCTAAAGAGGCTGGGAGTCTCTGGCCTGGGGAAAAAAATAAATAAATAAATAAATAAATAAAATAAAATGGAAATCTAGAAGGGATGACATAGAACCATCAAGGGGGTACCAAGGAGAGAATCAGGGACAGTTGCTTGTTTTCTCCTACAGTTCAATAGTTAGTGAGTATTGGATAAAATTAGTTGGAAACCCCTTCAGAACAAATGAGAGCAACTAGCTATATCCCAAATACGTTGCAGAGCTACGGTTCTCTTAACAAAGTCCAATGGATGCTGAAGCTCTACAGGGCTACCAAGTTGTCTGGGCACTGAGGGCACCCCCTCAGCCCTCCCTTGTCACCCCCTGCCCCAGTGAGGCCCTCATCTGAACACCCAGTATTATGCTTTTACAAACCAAGACATTATCAGTGAGAAACTTTTAGTGAAATCAAGACAGTCTTGCTGGATAAGTGGAGTGAGAGGCTCAAAAATGAGGAAGATTGAACTCCAGAGAAACAGGGAGGCTGAAGATAGAGACTGAATATGTTAGATCCTGTGAGGGGATTTGAATTTGCTTCTATCACCTCTAAAGAATTTAGGTCCCAATAGCCAAAAATAGCCACGTTTCAATATATTCCTCAGAATGTATCCCAAGAATAGCCCAACTGATGGATATTTTTCACATTTTGTTTCGTTTCTGCAAGAAAAAGAAAAACGAAAAAAGGAAAAAGGAAAAAGAAAAAAGAAAAAAGAAAAAAAAAAGATAGAAAAAAGCAATTTGCTTCATGTGCATTGAACTATTTGGGGTTGTTTCCATTTACTTTCTGTTTTCATAAATAATACATTTATTTATAGCTTGGAAAACAGAAAAAAAAAAAAAAAAAAAAAAAAGAAAAACTATTTTTTAACCTTTGATTTCTGAGAAAGAGGTTTAGGGTCCAGTGGCTGACTGGCTAAGATATGTGGGAGCACAGAAGCTGCCTCCTGCAGTCCTTCCAGTGGTCAGTTAGCAAAGAGCACAAGATGTTCCCAGGGCCTGAGAGGTGTTTTAGGTGTTTTGCCTTTCCTATGGGATGAGTTAATAAACGTAACTCCAGGGAAGCTGTGATATGCTCATGCCTTGCACTCACTAAGCCTAATTAGTTCGGGAGCAGAAGTACATTTGTTGCCTATGCTGAACCCACGAGTATAGAAATAGTTATTACTGAAGAGGAAGCCTGTCGGTTTCCTTGGAGAGACTCAGGAAGGCAGAGGTGCCACCCACCAGCTTATAGGAAGAAATATATATACACGGCTGGAAGGAATAAAGGGTTTACCAGCCCCAGTCCTGGCACTCATGGGAGCAGCACGGCAGGGGTTGTGTACAGGGGTGGCTCACCGCCTGGAGCTCTGGGGCAGCAAACTAGATGCTGCAGGCTTGTCTCTGAGGACAAGCTCACAGCACAGACAGTTCTTGTTTTGGGATGACTGTAATGACAAAGACAAAACAACACAGCTCCCATCCCCCAAAATAAGTTAAAAAAAAAAAAAAAAAAAAAAAAAAAAAAAAAAAAACAACTTGAAATGAATGGAGAAAATCCCATATTTATCATATTTATAGCATTTTACAGGGCCTGCCTGGACTTTCAGGGTTGAGAGCCAGTGCACTTTCATGAGACAGAGCTCTGACTGTTATTGCTGTGTTTTTCAGGCTTTAGAAAGGAATTATCTAGGGATTTCAAAAGCCCCAGACCCAGCAGAGATTCCACAGTGTAATTTGTGAAGCGAGACAGCTGACCGAATACAAACTCAATTTTACTTCACAGACATGAAAGCCGGGAATCTAGGCTTGTTTCTCTCAAATTGGTGATGAGTAAAGAGTTTCAAGCCCATTAAAAACACAAAGGGTGATAGAGCAGAAAGTAAAGGCTTCATCTGGCATAGAAAAGGAACGAAACCTTGTTACAAGGTGACACGGCCCAGTTGTGGTCCAGTTGTGCTATCCAAGCACTCACTCAGAGCAAGGGTTACCGTGTTTAGTGGGGACACAAGAATGTGAAACAATTGTCTTCACAGAAATAGTTCATTGCTATCATTTTAAAGAAAATTGGACTCCCCAAGATATCCTAGTGAGCACTTTTGCATCAAATGTGTGCATGAAAGTGCTCCATCCCTTGGAGCAGTGAGCTGAGAAATGTATCAAAGAATGACAAATAATCACTCAATATGCAAAGAAATAACTCCCAGAAACATTTATTCAAAGCCATCAGAGTTTGGGCTGGGACCATGGAGCAAGGCAGTCTCTATTTTGGCATATATATTGCATACGTATCAGGAAAAATTGCCTTTAGCTGCATCAGACCCTGGACCTGGGGCACTCAGGAACATGAGTGCTGAAGGGAATTCAGTATATGCCATGTTTAGGGATGCAAGTTTTCTCTGTTGTCTCTTCTAGCACCACTAATCTGCTACTTTGTAGCTGGTCAGTCCCATTGTGCTAAACTAGTAAAGTAAAATGTATTTACTTAGTCATCTTTAAAAGACTTAACTTCAGTAGATACACAAAAGGACAGGATCACAGCAGGGCTGAGGCTGTTGGGGCCCTCTGGGCTCAGCTGCTCCAAGCCCTGCCCAAGCAGGGACACCCAGAGCAGGCTGCCCAGGGCCAAGCCCAGGCGTCTTTTGGAGATCTCCAAGGGGGGACCCCACAGCCCCTCTGGGCAGCCTGTGCCAGGGCTCCTCACCTGCATAGCACAGAAGCGCTGCCTGGTGCTCAGAGGGAGCCTCCTGTGCTCCAGTTTGTGCCCAGTGCCTCTTGTCCTGGCACTGGGCACCACTGAAAAGAGCCTGGCTCTGTCTTCATTGCACCCTCCTTTCAGGTATTTATAGACATGGATGAGATCCCCCCGAGACTCCTCTTCTCCAGGCTGAGCAGTCCCAGCTCTCTCCACCTCTTCTCATAGGAGAGGTGTTCCAGTCCCTTCATCATCTTGGTGGCTCTCTATCAGACTCTTTCCAGCATGCCCATGTTTCTCTTCTACTGGGGAGCCTGGAACTAGACACAGAACTTCAGGTACAGCCTCACCAGAGCTGAGTAGAGGGGAAGGATTACCTGTCTCGGCCTACTGGTGACATTTTGCCTAATGCAGCCAAGAATACTGCTAGCCTTCTTAGTGGTAAGGGCACGTTGCTGTGTCACATTCAACTTGGTGTCCTCCTGGGTCTTTTTCTGCAGAGCTGCTTTCAGGCTGGGTGCCCCCCAGCATGCACTGGTGGTTGGGGTTGTTCCTCAGCAGGTGCAGGACTTTGCACTTCTTATTGCTGAACTACATGAGATTTTTGTCAGCCCACCTCTCCAGTCTGTCAGGGTCCTCCTGGACGGCTGCACAGCCCTCTGCTGTACCAGCCACTCCCCCGAGATTCATCTGCTCATTTACTAAATTACCAAATATTGCACAAAATCAGTGCAAAATCAGTGAAGAGGGAAACAGATTATAAATCATTTATTTTTGAGCTAATATCCTATACAATTGTGCATTGGTAGCCACTACACTGCCAGCAAAATAACAGCAAAGAATCTGATAAAATATATTCATAACAATCTTTCAAATCCTGCAATTACATTTGGTTTCAAATACAGAAAAATGTCTAAATCTCACCTATATTTAGCTTATTTCATTTGCATCTTGTACAACTTTTGCAGTTTATAAACGGACATGTGTTGATGCATAAAGATATACTTTACCAGTGTTGATCACAATTTTTATTAAAATAAATAAGCAAATATATTGAGATGATACAAATGAAGCATAGAGAATTCATCCTAATTTTACATGATCTGAGGGATTCAAGTAAGCAGAGTCAAGGCATGAAATTTCCAAATGAAAAGCAATCTTGAAACAATGCTCTTACCACATCCTCTGAACAATATTCTCTTTGTATTACTCTGGTAAACCCATTGAGTGATGCTACAAAATAAGATGCTTAAAGGTAAATAATGAAAATAGCAGGTAAAAAAAGAAATTTTTCATCTAAAATAAAATAAGCTGGATTTTCAACTTTCAGATGTGTCACCAAAACAGGAATTCTTCACACTTAACTTTCATCTTAAAAAGTTAAGCATGATTCAGCTTATGCAAGATAGTGATTTTAAAAGGATCTACCCATAAAAGATACCTTTCAATCATATGAAGACAAATGTCTATTTTTTCCCCCCAGCAGGAAAGAAAGAGTATAGGTGGCCATCTTAAACCAGCCAGCAATTTTTTATATGGCTCAGATAACATGTGATGAATTGGGTCAGATCACTGAAGATGTCTAGATGTCCATATCCCATAAAAAGGAATCCTGATGACCTGACTGTACTTCTGATTTTGTCCCATTAGGGTACAATTTAGTGTCCCACAAACCAAAGAAACTGCTCCTGTTGTGTTTGGTCAGCACAACAATTAAACTCATACTGGACACCAGCAGCCAGTAGTTGTGTTCTCCAGCTGCATATCTGAACTGTTCCATACATCAAATACAAGTACCCAGGTGTAGCCTTTGGTTGCTCCTCTCGTATTTCTCATAAGCAAAAGGAAGGCTGACTCTGCAATCACACACACACCAGCAAACACCAGAACTGTGTGTGTATTTGAAGACCACTGCTCTCTCCACTAACACGAGATGAGGACCATCTGTATCTCATTGCTGATATTGATGACTTCACTGCAGTTTTTGCACACCAAGCTCATTCTTGCAGGAGTCTTCATAGCTAAGTGAAGAAGAAAAGGATCTCCAAAATCACTCAAGTGCTTGGTCTGCCTCTCTGGCACACGAGCAACATGGCACTAACCCCGCAGATGCACAGTGGTCCAGATATGGAGGTAGGATGAGGTTGATGGTGTAAGAACTAGACCTTCACCATCCTCAGTCTCGTATCTGTTGGGTAGCCAGTATTCCCAGGGGAGCATCCAGGAGAGCACAGAGTGATTGTAACTGCACTTTGGTTTGTGGCAGCAGGACAGCTTCCTGGGAGGGAAAGAAAACCAGCCACTATTGAAATTTAGCTGGAAGAAATATTCATTTTTATGACCTCAGTGGAATAAGAACTGCATACATAATGTGCATTTGAGAGTCTTATACACTGCACCTGCAGATCAGCAATGGAGAGAGGGGCAGAAATTATCTATTGTACGTTTAATTTGGAATTGACTTTAATTTCACTGTTTATATTGTTCATTTTATAACCACCTATTAGAGGTCCCATTATTATTACTCCCATTCAAAATGCTATGAATGAGGTAGAAACTTTTCAAGAAAACAAATTATCTTATTCTCAAGATGTTCTTTTTTCTTGGGTGGGAAGGGAGATAGAAGCTCTTGTTTTTCAGATGCATGATGAGGAATACTTAGGAAATGTCACTGAATACTCGGGGCAGAAAGGAGGAGTGCTTAATGCCTGCAAGTGATAGCCTGTTAGCCCGTGTCCTTGAAAAATAATATGCTACAAGGAAAATATGTGTAATATTGAGGTGGGGCTCCCTTATGTCTCAGAACAACAGGAATAAGTGATATAAATGGGTGATTAAAAACATTTCCTCCGTTATTACCGCACTGTGGGGAGCTGCCAGCAGCAATGACTTACTTGCTGTCATGGCAGAAATGTGTGTTTCAGATCCTGGCCTAAATGCGGATGATTGGTGGTTGGTGCTCATCTATCTGCAGCATGATATACATAGTAAATAAATAACACCTGCCAGGGGGCCTTGCTTGCTTTGAAAGTAGGTTCAGCTGGGTTCCCTTTCCTTACCCTTACAGTGGTGTGGATGCAGCCCTCACATCCATAAGCCTTGCTTACAGAAGAAGCGCAGATATCCTTAGAGTTTAATGCACACAAAATGCTGTTCCTGCTGGGCTGGGATATGAATTTTCTTTGTAAGGCATTGTTAGCCATAAGCTCCTTTTCAAGTTACTGGTTTGCTGGGGGTGGTGGCAGGGAGGACTCAGCAAGTTGGTTGTTCCCATCCTTCCTGGACTGAGGGCTCTACTAGAGACCAACAGCTGTATTGGCAACACTACTGATGGGAAATCTTTCCTCAACAAACCTTGCTGTGTTATTAAGGCACCATGTTGAACTTGAAAGGCTTAAACATGGAGAAGAAAACGCTTCAGCTCATCTGGGAGGAGAAGACCAGTTATTTTCTGGTGCTGCTTGTGTCCAAAGCACCTCCTGATGGACAGGCGGCACAAATGCATCAAGGACAGTGGCCCTGCAGAGAGAGCCAGGAGAGAGGTTACACACGTGGCTTAATCACACCAAGATCCTCCATCAATGCTCAGCCCCCCCAACACACTTGGCAGTGAAAGCCAGACTGATGTCTACCAAAGAACATCAGCCTGCCTCTGAGTCAGTTCAAGCCTCATCACTCTCTGTCATTATGCAGACATAATTAGTATCAACAGCATCATTCCCTTCTAAATTGCAGAAGTGTGAAGCAGCTTGTGCTACGAAGAGATGATTGATGCTTCCTTCCAAGTCCTTCCACCCATACCCTCACTGAGATCCAAGTTTGCAGTCCACTGCTTTCTTGAGACTTATTTCATAATAGTGGCAAACACATAGCAAACAAACAAAAATTTACAATCCTTAATTTAAACCTTCCAATTAACCAGTCCCATGATGATAAATACAATACCTGCTGAAGAATCTGTGGTGCCTTTTTTTTTTTTTAATGTATATATAATGTCATTAAAGGCTTGTTTGGGAGGTGTATCCTTTCTATGAAAGGTAGATCCTGTGCAGTGCTTTTAACTGCAGCTCCTGCTACAATACAGCCCCCCAGCCTGTCATTTGCACGGCCATATGGCACACACAGGGTGACCAGCACCAAGGGCAGTGAGGGAACATTCAGGGGGCAGATAAGAAGGGCAGATACAGGCAGGCGGTGAGCACAGACAAGGGAGTCTCAGACAGGAGTGGGAAGGAGATAAGTGGAGATGGTGCAGAAAACAAGAGGGAGCTGGGAGGGAACAATGTAGGTGCTATCAGCCATGCCCACCTGCATGGTGGACAAGGTGGTAGTGAGCAGAGGAGCTGAAGTGTCAGCACTGGTGGAGGAGTGAAGTGCGGTACAGAGGGAATGGGTATGGCAACAGAAATAGCAAGTGAACTCTTCAAAACTACAGTGCATATTTGTGTTGTTAGCTTTGCATGTAAGACCCTCGCTGCGATGCCAGCAGGGTATGTGGTGATGTGCATGTGGAAGACATGCACAAGCTGTGTATGCCAGTGCTATGGGGCTGTGAGCCTCGCTTGCAGGGTGACTCTGAACCCACAGCACATTTACAAACCTCCACATGAGACCAGAGGGTGCAACGTGTGCAGCCCTCTCACGTGTCACAGCCATTCATCCAACCAAAGAAATCAAACATCAGCTGCTGATCGGGCATGACCCTACTCAGGAAAAGGAATGTTGGAGAACAGCAGAAAACACCAGTCAGCTGCAAAATGCCCTTCAGGCATTCATCGCTTCTGATTTCAGTTACTGAATTACACTTAGAAAAGATCCTTACTGCCCAAGCTGCCAGCTCAGCTTCATAAGAGTTTCTCATGCCAGCTCCACAGGGTGTGCCTGAAATATTTTTTTTTTTTATCTCAAATAAACAGGACGCATGTGGTACCATGGGAGTCATGAGTCTAATGCAGCAGGGACTTGAGCTTGAAAAGATCACCACTCTGTGCATCATAGATTAGGCTGAGAAACCAAATATCTGCTGCACATAACATAATATGCACAGCCCCGTTGCTTTCATGCTTTTATTTTCATATTACCGTTCCATGCAGGGCCTGATTCATTGCGTTATTGCCAGTTTTACCTCGGTGTAAATCTGTTTATGATAACAATCACATAAATACTAACTGGCATAATAGAATTGTGGAGCAATGTGTAACTTGTTTAAAACAATGAAAATCTAGACTATTTAGCAATGTGTATAGCTTACTGACTGAATGAGAACAGCTAAAGTAGAACATAAGTACTCAAATAAGCAGACACTAGAGAATTTATTCTAGTTTTCCTCAAGAATAGTTAAGTAAAATTTCTCTCCATAATTCATTGAAGTATTCATAACCAATAAAATAAAAGGGTCTGGAAACTATTTCATTTACAGCTGCAAAATAATCACTTCCTAAGGGTCAAGCCTACAGCTTGATACTACTGGATTATTCAGCACATCATTTTGGCCTTTAAAAGCAAAGAAGCAAAACAAACAAAAACTAGTGTGTTTTAATAAAAAAAAGTAGTGTGTTGAATATATATATATATTCATTATATCAATCTTGTATAGTTTTCCTTAATCCCCATAAAACAACAATTAACATATTTTTGCATCTACACAAGGTTTTGGCCCAAAAACGTAAGTAAAGGCCAATAAACCAGAAGATCGGTGTTGCAATATAACAACCCCTCCCCCCCCCCCCATCACATGCAATGAACAAAGCAAGCACTAAAGGGCACCTTCTTTCTGCAGGAACAGTCGACCCAAGGGGCTTCCAGGTGGAACCAGCTCCATCGGCCTCTTGCTTTTGGCATTCTTTGCCCAAATGTCTGCTCCAAAGTCAATCAGCAGCGTCACCAACTCTGCACTGCAACTCCTGGCAGCCGCATGCAGCGGGGACTCGAGGCCCTTGCCGCTGTTCACATTTGCTCCTGAATATGAAGAGACAACAAGGAATAACGACTATAGCACAGCCTCTTTCCATTTCCTGCACTAACTGCTGTTTCTCTGAATAATCTGTAAAGATTGGAGTGTCCACCTAGAGGTGGACTTCTGTGCTTTAGGGCTTGGTCCCACAATTTGCACGTACACAACTTGTGCTGTGTGGGAAGCAGTCGGGTGTTACCAAGAAAATTATCTCAGAAAAACAGGGCATGAGGAAGTCTTTCATCAGCAGCCCAGCCCACAGACCCTCTTGAAACAGGACAAAGATGTAGGTCCACCTATGGCCCACCTTGCTCCCCACCTGAGCAATCCATTCGCTTAAAATACATGCCGTGTTTCAATTTGCTCTATACCAGAGGCTTAAACTGATGGGATTTCCAAGTTCTGAGTTACCCAATGTGCTGGGGGAAAAAATATGAGGATGGAAAATTCTAGAGGCCCTAAATAGAGGAGGGTGTAAGTATGCTGTGATTTCAAAGTGCTTCCAATCTGTTATCCTGGGCTAATGGTTCATAAAACTCAAGGGTGAGCTGCAGAACTAATTCAAAACTATTTATAACATTTTTGAAGTACACATGCCTGTACATAGAAGACAGAAAATAAAATTAAAAAAAAATAGAAAACAATAGACAAAATTATATTTATATTGTGTTTGATTTCTTAAAACAAAAATCAACATGATATATAAAACATGAGGTCATTTAAGTGTGGGGTTTTTGGGGTTTTTTGTTTGTTTTTCAAAGGGGCTTTGTTGTTCCTTCTTTCTTGTATGAGCTATGTGGTTATATGTCTCCTATGGTTAGAAGAGATGAATTACCGTAGATAACAAAAAATGGCCTTGAACCCAAGAGCTTGGATTTGCAGCTGGGTTTGTTTTAGGCAAAGAATACAATACTGAATGCTTTTGCTCCGTGTTGGAAATGTTGCAGACTTTTTATGAACTTAGTGAGAATTAAAGTGTTTGCAAAAATGGTATGTAAAAGTCACTGAATCATATCTTTTGGATAAAGAGAAAGGAACAAAAAAAAGGAAGTTTCTTCCTACCCTCTTCAAATACTACAGCAGCACATACACAGACATCAGGAAAGATGTTGTCCTAGGCACCACTGGCAGTGTGAAATCCAAGATCACCCATCACTTTGCTGGGAGCTGTAAACCTCAGTTCCTGTGTCATGAATGCCCTGTCTTACACTGCTGCCCTGTTTAACCAGGGCTGCTACTGAGAGCAAAACATCTCCAGATCCAAGAGCAGGTGCTCATCTAAATGTTTGATGCAAAGAGAACCCAATGATGGATGCTATAGGAAAGGAAAGAACACCATCCTTTATTTTCCCTTTTACCTGACTCAAGCAGCTTCCTGGCACAGTTGACTTGCTGGTTCTCACAAGCTACATAAAGCGGAGTACCCAGGTGCTTGATGTTATGATCTATGTTCACCCCATGGGATGCGAGGATCTCGACACATTGCACATGACCTTAAAAGGGATAAAGGCAGAGTCAACTCACAGAGATCAGCAGTTTTGCAGCAGTCCAAGTTCTCTGTTGCAGCAGTGTAATTTGGCAAAGATTCACTCTTTTGTCAAGAGGTGATAGTGTAATACTCTCATCCACTCCCCTAATCCAATGTTTTTAACCATGAAACAAGAACTGCAAATCCACAGTTAGAAAACAGGCTAAAGCCCCCACATTTTATCTGACTAATTTCAGATATCTACTGAAGATGAGATGAGTCATGTCGTATTTCTCTCCACTGCTCTTGAAGATGGCCAGACGACTCTCGCAGATGTCTACATCTAAAACAGCTAATTTGGACAATGCATCTCCTGCCAGGTGTCACCACATGAACTCAGAGGCCCCAAGAGCTGGGCTGAGCAGCTCTTGATAAGCACCAGGACTGGGAGGAGCTGCACCACGATGAGAGCAAGTAGGGAGGAATAACTCATGGCCTAAATCACAAAAAGAATCCTCTTTATCTCTTTTCCACTTCCGCTAGCTGCTAGCAACACATAAACCAGCTCTGGCACCCATGGGATTACCTCTCTTAGCGGCTTCGTGTATGGGGGATGCTAAGTCACAGGGTGGGTGCAGGCTGGCTCCGTGTTGCAGCAGTAAATTCAAGCAAGCCACACTGCCACTGACACAGGCACTGAACAAAGGAGTGTGCCAGTCAACAGTCACTCCATTCACCTGGGGAAAGAGAAGACAAAACAAGGCACATGTAAGCTTTTTGTTTGTTTCATAATAGATGAGATTTGGCCTCAACAGAAAACAGGGTTTTCAATAACTTTTATTTTATTCTTTGTAAAAACTGCCTACTGCTCCTGAGGATTAAAACTTTGTATTTAAAAGAACATCGAACAAATCTGCAAAAATCTTGCTCCCAAGTGTGCTACAAGACCTCTTGGGAGTTATTGAGATATGTGTGCTCATTTCTCAGTTACCTCAGCTGAAATCCACTTGCGTATTGCCCTGTCCTAAGCCATCCATTTTTAGCTGAAAGTGTGCAGCCCTTTTTTAATTTTTTATTTTTTTTTAACTGAAAGGTAATATATGTACGAGTTAATTTTCTTATTCACTATAAATTTCAATATTAGCTTGAAAAGTAGAGATCATGAGACACACTCATTTCATCACGTTACTTTGCATATTATCTCCATTTTCCTCACATCATATTTATATATTTTTATATAAAGATCATTTGATCTTTACGGTCTTACATCTCTATCTAATATTCTGCATATTGACACCAATGGGATTACTGTATGCAGAATACAGAACATGCACTTAATTTTTACAAGATTATAAGCCATTTGCAAGAAGAACTTGCCACTTATTCTTTCAGTAAATGATGAAAACATTGTACCTTGATCTAAGATTAAAATAGTTACTTCTTATAGCTGCACTTTTTGGATTTCTTTGTTAAGAATTACATTTTATAACATGGGTACTTTAGGATGAAGTACAGAATGTAAGTAGTGATATTGTACATCTTCTAGAAAGGGGTGGAAAGAGGGCCAAAATGATCAGAGAGCTGGAGCACCTTCTCCAGGGAAGAAAGACTGAGAAGGTTGGGGTTGTTAAGCCTAGGAAAAAGCAGGCTCCAGGGATATGTCATTGTGGCCTTTCAATCCTTGGAAGGGGCTTATAAGAAAGATGGAGAGAGACTGTTTTTCACCACAGCCTGTAGTGATAGGACAAGGGGTAGTCATTTTAAAATAAAAGAGGAGAGATTTAGATTAGATATTAGGAAGAAATTATTGTGAGGGTGCTGAGGCTTCACAGGTTGCCCAGAGAAGCTGTGGATGCCCCATCCTTGGAGGTGTTCAAGGCCAGGCTGGATGGGGCTTTGGGCAACGGTCTGGTGGGAGGTGTCCCTGCCTGTGGTAGGGGGGTTGGAACTAGATGGTCTTTAAGGCCCCTTCCAACCCAAACCATTCTGTGATCCTATGATCTAGTATTAATTTGTCATTATAAAACATGCTGCCTCTGGAGACAGAGACCTGCCCATGATGTACTTACCTTAGCACCATGTTTTAATAGGACACTGGCACAAGCAGCATGACCACCTAGGCAGGCTTCATGGAGGGGAGACACCTGGTCTGTTGTAACAAGATTAACATCACTCCCCTGAAGAAATAATAAAAAATATCATTACAAACAACTGCAAAACAAACAAACAACAAACACCACCAAGAGCAAAAACAAACAAAAAAAAAAACACCACCCTTTTATAACAATCCTGAAATCTTTATTTAATCACAGCTTCCTCAACAGCCTGCAGTTACTCATCTCATCTGAAGGGGTAAGCAAGGAAAGAGTCTGTGATGCTCCAGCTGGAATAGGTACAGTCAGAGCATACTGAAGGTTATGCCTTCCACCTACTGATAATCAATACAGAAAGCTGCAGCCAGGGGACTGTCTGATGGAACAATACAGATATCCTTACAGCAGAAACCACTAGCTTGATTCTAACACTGGATCTTTTCTTTCTAGCAGCCTTGGTACTCCAGAAGTTTAAGCTGGAAGAGTTTCCAGTAACTCTCCACAGGCTAAATCCAAGAGTTTTGAGGGAATTGAACAGTGAGGTTCAGAAATCTTTTCTCCCCAGCTGTGGCCTTTTGCAGGGAGGACAGGGGCCCCCAGTACCCTCAGGCACTTTGGATGGCATCAGAAACAGAATCTTTCTACACGTCTTTGGCTCAGCGCACAGAGTTTGTGCAAAGCAATGAACAATTTGTAATAATAATAATAATAATAATATGAATAATGCATTACAGGCAGACCTCACTGCATTCTGGTCAAAGCAATTTTCTCACCCTGGATGTTTCACAGTGAAACTCAAACTGCATTCAGCAACCATACAAACCCATCAGAGATCACATCAACCTAGCAGAGGGATACCTGGCTGATGAGTTTCTTTAGAGTAAGCAGGCGCCCATGGATAGAGGCATCATGTAAAGGAGACCAGTCTGAAACAAAGTCTGTATAAAGAGAAAGACAGGAAAAAGGTTAACAGCTCCACAGACTGTTCCTTTTGTGTACTTTACTTCAACTGCATGACCCCAGTAAACCTCTCTTCTTCTAATTTATTACTTGAACTGCCAAGCTTTTCTTGGAGCAGCCACAGGGAGGGAGTGAAAAAACAGGATGGGTTTGCTCTGGGTGTGTTTTTAATTCATCCCATGTTCGTGCTGAGCAGCTGTGTTCCCATCCAGAGGATAAGAGAGTGATTTACAGAACACCACCTTGTTCTGACTGAGCTTGTGCTTAGCTTTGAATGATTTCCGGTGACTTTGTTTTCACAAGTTCATTACATTTTACCAATTAGCTCTAAAGGAGTATGTTTTGAAAAGGGTACAGCTGCTCAGTCATTCATCCCTGGTCAGAGATGAGCTAGAGTCAATAATAGGTAACTAGAGAAGGTACCAAAGTACAAGGAGATAAGTTATGTTACCTGTTGATTTTGTGTCTGTTTTGTGTCTGCTGTTAGCCTGTGCAGTGGTGCATTTTAAGTAATAGCTGTACTCTGCATCGTAGAAACCATAAGAAGGCAGGTATGGAGGGAAGCTCAAAGTAAGGGTCTGTCTTAGCTTGTATTTTTAACATTTAGTGGAGGAAGGAAAGAGCACAGGATTAACCAAAGTAGACTTGGTGGAAAACATCGTATCTCCAGAAGGTTATTTTTTTATTATTATTATTTAATTTTTATTTATTTATTCTTTTATTTATTTTAAGAAAGAGATAGACTTTCATCTTACGAACATGTAGAGAGAGTAATTTTCTGCTTTACCTCCCTGGTGCAAGACAAAAGAGCAGAAGCACATGGACTTGCAAGGGGACCTGCTCACAGATGCTGAAGGAAATGAGACTCCTCCAATGTGTGGAAACCCCCAAGGCAGGGAGAGAGCACATGCTGAGACACAAGTAGCTCCCAGGGCATTGCAGGGGATGGGACAGGATGCCTGCTGCATGGCACTAAGGATACAATCCTAGGCCACGAAGGGAGAAATTTTACCCAAGGAGGTCATAAAGAAACTCTACTACCGTGATAAACACATTGATATTTAAAGTGCCTGTATAAAGCAAATACATTCGTATTTGTTCTCATTAGGTCTTATGTAAAAGATTGACTTAAGGTCACTTTGTTGGGTGACTTAAGAGGCATGAAAGGTCTGCATCAGAAACAGAGTTTTAACTCCTGTTTCCAAGTAATTTGATATTTAGAAACTGATGTTTAGAAAAATACCACATGCCAAAAATAAGTATTGCAAATGAGTCAACATAGTTCTAGTTGGATGAGGGAGGTGTAGGAGAAAACCCCTATGGTTAAATTTGGTATCAAACCTGTCAAGTCACGTAGAGTATTTTTTAGAAAGATTTATTGTCCAGACAAAAATATTATTTGATGCTTTTTATAAGATGTACCTTCCTTTCCTCAATTACCCAGTGTAAAGGTCTGAGGAAATACTGCTAACGACTTTACACTTCATTTCTCTAGTTGCTGTATCTGTTGTTTATTTCAATATAGTGAAACAAACTAGTTTAGTACTGAGGACTACTCAAATATTAACAGAGGGGCTCTTTAGTATTACATATTCATGGCTCAGAGCCAGCTGATATGGCTATATGTATATATATATATGGCTTAGGGCCACACTAATCCCTCTGGGAGAGATTTACTTCCTTCAGTATTCATTGCCTCAAAACTCAGTATCTGTTCTATGTTAATGGCCCAGGTACCCCTGGGAAGGAAGAAAAGCATTTCCAGAAGGTATTTCATCCATTTTCTTTTACTAACACATTTTGCTGCTCTCTGGTGATGTCCCTCTCTCCTTCCACTAACTACAGAGAGAATCCCAATGACCGTCTTAGGCAAGTTGCTGAGGTTTTCAGGGACTAGACCTCTGTGAATTATTACATGAGTGGAATAGTCTTAACAGTGAAAAGTCTGCTTTCAACTACAAACCCAATAAAATACTGTCATTTCTTAAATAACTTTCACAGATTAGTTGATGATGTCAGTGCTTATGCAAGGTCTGTATATCCTGCTTTGTCTCAGGTATAAGCACATGGGGGAGCTCTGAATCCCTCACAGCTGATGTCCTGCCCTTTCTGGCTATGCCGCAGTGTGCCAGGATGGGGTGAACCATCACCTACCCTGTCGGGCTATTGCTGTCTCACCTCCCAGAGTGCTCAATAAGGGACAACAGATTTAAACAAGATAAGATCTAGCATAACAAGACTTGTATTGTCTTTGGGTTTGAAATATTCTGCACTAAATAAATTGTGACTGAAGATGTTTGTATCTGAAATGTGTTGTCTCTACTACACACGGAAGACCTTCACCTACATAGCTATGTTAGGCAGGAGTGTGACCTTCTGCTTTATAATGACCACAAAAAGGCCTGATATAGATTTAGGTATTATTGCAAAAATCCTTTATACCTGTAGAGCATATTTTCCTAGAATTATTCATATAAGCAAAAGTTTATTTCTACTTCTGCAGCACACCATTTTTAAGCCACTAGATACTCATATTAACGTTTATCTGCATAGCACAGTTTTGCAAATATATGGATATTGCATTTGACTGTCTACGAATTATGGCTCATTGATGGATTAAACATGGTAAATTTTAGTCTTTCCATTCTTGGGCACCCAAAACCTGTGGCTCACTTTAAGAAGCAACAATTCAAACATTCAAAATAATTCAAATAACAATTCAAACTGGCAGCAGTCACACATACATGACTGAGACAGAAGCTAACTGGCCCTTGTGACAGTTCTTAAATGAATGAAAAAAAATCTAGAGGGGCCATCAAGGCTTAATCTTCTCTTAAGATAACCCTTCTCTAACAGTGCTCTAGCACACTCCTGGCTTATAGGACAATCTCAGTGACATCCTGGAAATAACTTCGGGACAGGTATGAAGCCCAGAGGTGGACGAGTTGTGAGCAAGTTTAAAAAAAAAAAAAAAAAAAAAAAAAAAGGCCTTTAAGAAAATAGGTCTCTTCAAGGATGGTCAGACAAACGGTTGATTAAGGATTTTCACCATTTCTCCTTATTCCCTTGTCTCTAGTTATGATTGCCACATAGTTAAGAGAAGGTAAAGGGGGAGGGGTTGGGGATTGTACAAAACAGTAGGTAATTCATTGTTTTATGCTAGATTTACATTTAAATTGTCAGAGATAACACTCGGTGCTCCTTGGGGTCAGAAAAGAGATTTATCTTGTGTCTACTGGAGACTACAACTGGAGACAGGACACAGACCTAGCAGAACAATCTCCTATTACTCTGTCAGTATGTTCTGCTCATGGGTGCAGTTAAAATCTATAAGCTTTCAAATCTGGAGATGCTCGGAAAGAAGGCTGGGAGGGACCATCAGCTCTGCAGCTGTGCTTCTTCCAAGCCTGGGGCACAGTCTCCTTCCTGTGCTCACCATGGTGGTCTTTTTTAAAAAAAATTTATTTTGACTCTTTGTCCTGCTCTTGACATGTAATTATTACAGCTGTGGGATTTGGGTCTTTACCTACAGATCATAAGTTTGTTGCCACTGAACAGGGAAAGTGTTTGGTGACATACTGACCATGCCTACAGACTAGGTGTTTGGTGGACACTGAAAATCACTATCTATTCCATGACTGAGAGATACTGTCAGAGATTGTGTGGATTTTATAGTGCTAGATAAAGAGCTTCAAGTTTTTTTGTAGATTAGTCCAGTCAACTCCAAAACAATACTCAGACACAGATCAAGGAAGAACTTTGTATCAGAGAAGGTTCCCAAAGGCACTTGTAGAAAAAGCTGCACCAGTTTTGGCTCTTCACTCTACACAAGCCTTCCTCAGCAGGACTATCCCAACAGGCTTTGTATATGCAAGCATCCTTCCTGCCATGCTCAAAGTCATGCAACACATTGCCTCAACTTCATGTTACGAAAACAACATTCTGTTGGTCTGCAACATGACCCTGATGTTTTATCAAAGACTTTGAACTGGGAAAATATACAAAAAATGATATGAATGTCTCAGAAAAATCAGAGTCCAGCAGTGTGGATTTAGCCAGTCTTCTCTTGAGGGGACAAGCCTTAAGCAAGTGAAAATATGAAGGCAAGTCAGCCTGAAGCATTTGGTCTCAAAGACAGAAATGGCCCCAGTCTCTTTTATTTAGCAGCATAGAAACAGATAACTAGACTCCACAAGTCAAGAGGTCTTTTCAAGCTTTATATTCCTATCACTGTCAGAGTTGAAAGGAAAAAAAAAAATAAAGGAAAAAAAGGAAACTGAGAAACAATCCAGAATTCATGCGCACAGATTCAGCAACTCAGTTGTGACCCATATTGTGAGGATCCTCAATATTTGAAAGCCAAAGGAAGAGATGTTACCCCAATACAGCTTTACAAGTGGTACTGGGAGCATGAAATGAACAGAGGAATGAATTCTGGAAGTCTGGGTACTGTATGTTAATTAACTTTCAAAGAGAATTATAGTCTTTGTCAACGGCATCATTTGAGAGCTTCCTGCCTCTTTCTACATCTCATGGGCTGTGTTCCACAATAACCATGTGTTTGCAGTAAGTTTACAAACATTTTTTGGCTTTAACAAATGGACAGCTATTTCCAGAAGCTATGGTTCTGTTCTCATAAGGATATGTCATTTCCTAAGGGCAGCCAAACCATGGTACAACTATTAAAGCACAGTATTATTAATTGACTAAAATAGCTTTTCTTTGAAAGTGGTGAGTATCAGATGATACTTGTTAAATTACATTCAACTGTGTAAAGTTAAATATTTATTTTTCCAGTGTGCAAAGCTGTGAAGCATCTCTGTTTTCATTGTCCACCCTAGGAATGACAGTCACATTGTCAGTGCATTGTGGTGCACTGAGATTACTATTCTACGTTTCCCTGTGCTTTGTCAACAACTCTCACCATGTTGTTTTAAGCAGTCCTGTGAGAAGACCCAATTCAGTATTGATAAGAGCAAGTGAAAACCAACTCCCAGAAACATCACTAAGTAAAGACCCTTGATTTTGTCAAGCTTTTTGAAATGAGGGCAGGTGTACACCTTCAAACCTTCATCTCACTCCCAGTATGTTGAACCAAGCTCAGTTCTAACAGGCATCCACTCCGGTGGTATTGCCTGTGTCATGCTGTTTTTCTTATTTATCCTGCCACTGTTACCACTGGATGTGTAGCCAGTGCCATTGTGTAACCAACACCACAGCCAGATCTTCATGAGTTTCAAGGGAACTGTGTTTACAAGTTATGCTAAAAATCTAGATTGAAGAACAAGTTTTCTGAGCTGTGCTTGATCACTTTTTGGCCAAAAAAAATACAGGCAGAATTTTGTATGAACTACCAAGATGATATATCAACGTGTCAGTATTTTGGTGACAATAAAGGAGGTGGATGGTCATGTCACCATATCCAGATGCAGCCTTTATCCATTCAGTGCTTTCTTGAGAAAAGGCAGGTTTCCACTGAGACTCCAAACCAGAGCTAGACCAGACCATAGTCATCCATAAACTGGCCATTACCTTGTGATTTTGTAGTATCTTAACTTCAGATTAGAAGAGTGACTAGAAGAATGTCAAAGATAAGCATCAGTGGACAATAAAAAGAGGTATGTGCAAAGATGATGTCCTAAACCACTCAGAGGGGCTGAGGCCTTTATCCTAAATGGAAGTGGAGGCCTAAGGTAGCTTTAAGCCAGTCTTGGATACATTGGGCAGCGGGAGTCTAAGGGCCTGTAGGGTGCCTGGCATAGTAAGTACAGCATCAGTAATACAAATGATCACTATTTTCACTACATAGGCATCTGATTAAAGCCTTAGGAAGTGCCAATGTGAACTGACCATGGACTTCTTAAACCCTCAAATAACATTGTTTAGGGAAGTACTCAAAATATTTTGCCCACCAAACTGTCCGTGGAGGAAGAAGACCGTTGTACACAGGTGGTGAAGTTGTGTTTGCTGCACGTACTACCACAGCAATGTGGATTTCTGATTGCCAAAAATGCATACAGCTGCTCTCTTATGGAGGAATGAGCCTGTTTATCCAAACCTGAAATGTACCCACACCTTAATCCACAGGCAAGCTGAGTCAGGCCTCAAGGCTTTCAGCCTCTAGACATCCAAAACCCACTGGTTTTCCTTGGCATTGGGCCATCCAGTTACCCTTTCACCACTGAAAACCCCGGGCAACCCAGAGGTTACATGACACCTCTGGTCCTCCACCTGGGCCTCTGAGCTGGCAGAGCGTGTACGGAGGGAGCCTTAAACCCATAAGCACACGAACATCCAAGCCCTGACTGCAGCCTGGGGACAACAGAGCCTTCACACCACCCTTCTAGGAGAGCATTCATTTCTGATGGTGGCTGAATGCATCTTTCTACAGCCTCTGATCGTGAGGAGGGTGTCATGCACTCAGTGCACATCCCAAGGCTGGTTCCCTTTCATGGTGCTCTCACACAGTACAGCTCACAAGGGGCTTTGAAATCCTTTCAGCTGAAGTATGCTCTTGCATACACTTTTGCATACACATAGGCCTACGGCATGTATAACAGTACCACAAATGGTATTTTTCATATTTAAAAGATTTCACCCATTGTTTGTGATATATGTCACCAAACAAAATCCTGCTGTAAGTCACCAGCACATCTTACTGATGCTGCTAAGGACCAGACAAGCACAGGAGGAACACACCGAGCTCCAGCATCTAGGGGACTGAGCCACCCATGTGCAGCGGTGCTGCCTGTGGGCTCCCCTCCTCCCAGCCTCCATTTTGGCAGAGCTCACCTCCAGTGAGGACAGGGTTTGGTTCACACTGTTAACAACATTGCCACCCCTTCCCTCCCACCCAGCCTCACTGTGTACACACACAAACACAAGGAGCATCAGACTACACAGCCAACAAACTGATCATTTTTGTATCATAGCTTGCCTCTGTATATTTTTGTGTCCTATTTTTCTATCTGGTTAGAATGGAAGTGTCCTGAATAGCCCAGGAAAAGAGGATGGATGGTTTGAAGTTGTGTTGTATTAATTTATCTCCCTATTCCTTCTTCATTGCCCGCGAACTGAAGGAGAAGTGTCTCAGAAAACAGGGCTAGAGGGAACACATCCAGCTAAACTGTTATGTGAGGTTAACTTACTTGTCTTTTGTCACTACGTCATATTTTCAATGGCCCTGGGCCAGACAACAGAGCAATGATCAGAGTGAGGCCATTTGATAATAAATAACTGACTAACTGCTCACCAGTGACCACAACAACATTGGTCACAACTGACCACGACGCCCTGGCAGTAGGAGAAAAACCCACTAGGGCTGGTGGCTTGGCCTGTGCAAGAGCACTCAGGTCTGCTCATTGGAAAGAATAAAGGGGGAAGGGGTGAAGAGGGGGGTGAAGAAAGAAAAAAAGAAGGAAGAAGGAAGAAGAAAAAAGAAAGTAAAAGAAAAATAAAGAAAAATGAAAAGTAGAGGCAGAAGTAAAGGAGGAAAGGTAGGACAAAGCGAAGAAAAAAAATGAAAGGAAAGAAAAAGAAAAGAGGAACTGAGCCAAAGCTGAGCTCCCAGCCAGCAGCAATCTAAGTTCAACATGCCACATTGCAACCTCTTTTTCAGTTTGCTATAGTTCAAGTACTACATTTGTTTCCGCTTGCACAAACTGCACTACAGAATCAGACACTTTTACGTGATGCACAGGGGGGAAAATTAAAATCAGTGCCAAATACAAAGAGCTTATTAAAATCCCTTCTGAAGTACAAGGACATTATGTGGGAGAGGTTGTGGACCTGCACTGGAAGCGGGACATCAGGAGGGGCACACAGCCACAGCCTGACCGTGTCCTCTCCATCTGCTGGCAGAGGCGAGGGCAAGTGGCGAGGCAGGAGCGTTACTTACCCCTCATCAGCAGCAATGATGGAGATGTTGCAGACGCCTGGCCCCCAGTTCCTTGTGATTTACTGGTGTTTTGACTCGTTCTCTCATCATCCATCTCAGCCTTGTCTGCCCGGTTTCTGTTTTCTCACTTCAGGGTTGCTCTTGAGGGTTCAAATTCCATCGTCCTCGGTGAGCCCCTGCACTCGTGAGTGATCTGTTGAGCAGACTGCCTGTGCACCACTCCAACAAACCTCGCAGCGGGCTGGGACTAGGTGCAGCACCACTTTGTGCAGAAACTCGAGTACCTGGGATGGGGTTTAGGGAAACATCTCCCCGACTCCACTGGTAGGCAGCCAGCAATCGGACAGACCACACCGCATGAAGTGAGAGATGTGCCTGATGTCATATCCTCCGCAACCCTGCACCCAATCGGGGCGCCGGCCGGCTGTTTTTATCAGGAAGGAAATCCTTGGTTTGCCAAAAAAACAAGAGAGAAAGAGCCAGTTCAACTAGTTGAGCAAACTCTGCCTGCGGGGGATTTGCAGAGAAAACCCAGAGAGGCACTGGCGAGATCCGCACCACTCCCAAGCGAGCGGCTTGCAGGCGGCCGAGCCTCGCTCCTCTCTGCAGGCTGCCCTGTGCTGCGTGAGCCCACCCTCCTGTCCGAGCAGCCCACTGCCCTGCTTGTGCAAGGAGCGAGGCACTGAATTCCTTCCACGCGGTGGTGGTCGCCACATGCTGTACGGATATTGAAACCACATGTTCGTGGGGCTCTGCTTTCCACTGGAAGCCCTTTATTGTCTCCATGGCACGGAGAGTGCAGCGCCGAGTGGGCTGATTTCCTTCCCCCTGTTTCAATCTGGTTACAGTCACACCAGGAGTTTCATATCCAAGCACTTTCCTTTTATTTTTAAGCAATTTCTCAATCTAAAACCAAAATTGCAAACCTAGTCATGAACAAATAGCAGCAGATTTTCCAGAGCACCTCCGCCTCATTTCTCTAGGTCTGTCTGCAAAAATCCTGACCTCGCACATTATCTCTGTGTACTTTTTTCTTTCCCAGTGAGTATAAGTTACAAGTGCAAACTCTTTTTGCTGTCCCTGAGTATCTGTTCATGCATAAAAGCAAGCAGGCAGAATTTCCACATAAAAATCTCACCCGTGTAAATAAAATTTGTCCACTAGAGCAGACTTTGCATGTGTGTATTTGGAGATACAGAGCTGCTAATCCAAATCCTAACTACACTGATCCCAAACAGCAGGGTTTCATTTTTAACCCATGCAGGAGATTTGGAATCTTTTTTTCTTTTTTTTTTTCCCATATCCTCCCTGCCAGCAGGGAGGCTGTGAAGGCAATCTGGGCACATGCTGGTGCAGAACTGCTGATGAAACATGGATAGGGGAAAGGTTTAAAGGTTTGCCCCTTCCAGGGCTGTCCCTGCCAGATGCCCTCCTGGCATCTGAGTTTGTAAACACATTCTGGATGCAAGTTTACACCTTGGGCTGACTGGAAATTAAATTTGTGTCAGCCATTTAAATTACAGCATTAAAATGTTGTTGGAAAAAAATGCATATATCTAAGTGGAAAAATGTACATATATATAGGGTTTGATGATTAATATGCTAAATGAGGAAAGGAAAAAAAATTTTTCTCTTTAGTACTGCTTAAGTGTAGTGGCTAGATTGCTATATCTTATGTTTAATCATATATTTAGCAGTATTAGCAAACATGTCAACAATGCTACTGCTAAAATGGACCGGCATTTGTGTCCAAATATGCAATGATACGGCTTGTAAGTGAAGAAGCATTATCGAAGATCTTTAAATTCAACACTAGTAAGAAGGGTCCTACAAGACAGAAATCTCTTAGTCCCTAGTCGTCCATGGATGGGGAGACTTTGGCCATTTGATCCTTTGATCAAGAGACCTGCTGACTGTTAGGGTAATCATTTGAATCATATGGTATTCATTGCACATCTTTTGGTCATGTTTTGTTAGTCTCGACAGAGGAGCTGAAGACTGCTTTTCCTTGAAGCTGATAAGGTTGCTGCGAGCATCTAACACTTCACAACTCTCCTCATGGTGGTGGGTAGCCTCTAACTACTATTCCTGCCTCCATCACCCTCTCAGAAATGGAGGCCTCTGAGATCCCCACAGCAGGCTGGTAGCCCACAGGCATACTTTATCCTAGTGTGTTGGTATCCTGGTCCATACGTATTTGTATCTCATGGAGGAGAAAGTCACAGGTGTCACAAAAGGGGTTCCTAGTTTCAACACACTTGTCTTCTGACAGCACCAAAGAGGCAGAGACCTGGGCAAAACCACAACGTGAGCAGGATCCAGGTAGTGGATCTTAATGGAGTTAGGGCAGTTCAAGGGTAGCCCAGCATAGGTGCATAAATACTTTTCTCTCCGTGAAAATGCAAATTCCTGACTCTCCACACCCTGTCCTGTGTGGTGTCTCACCACAGTCTCTCTTCAGCACATGCACACATTTTCCCCAAATAATTAGTTTCTGTTTGGCCAGATTTCAGCTTGCAGAGATTTTCTGTGTCACATACATTAAGAAGGCTGGTACTTTTTACAGTTGTGAGGAGTCTAGTTTTGAATTCTGCCAAACGAGTTTGTAGTAGAGGCACAATGAATTAACAACACAGAGAACAGAGTGAAAAACAAAGAAACGCTGTTTTTCTTCCCAATTGCAAAACTGCATTCCTTTCCCTTTGCTGTGGTGTTCCCCACCATTGTATGAGCAAGCAGGAAATCAGCATGTGAGGTTCATAAAAAGACACTTATAAGACATACCATTATCTCCCAACATTGAGGCCATATTGATTATGCTTATGTTGGCAACCAAGCATGGGTCACTGGAGCTCTAGAGAGCTTCAGAGGGAAGGTTCAAGCCCTGGAATTCTGCTGTGTTGGGAGTTCAAGCTCTCCTTCGTTACGTTTGGACGTGTGAAGCATGCTCAGAGTGTAGCCACCTTTTCTGCTGACCAAAAATTGTGCTCCTCCAGACTATACTGCAGATGCCTTTATGCTGATGTGCAGCCAGATTACAGAAAAAAAATACCTAGAAAATACATAAATCAAGAATTGAATAGATGTTAATTGTCTCTTGGGCTTTTGTTTCAGCTAATAGCTCAGATTTGCATACAGAGGTGGTGTGTTACCTTTGGCCTGGTAAATCAAATAAAAATATTTTACCATCTAGGGCCACTCATTTTCCATTATCACTTTGGTCTAAATGGCATCATCAAGGTAAATTTATAAATTAGCTAAAATATCCCAAAGTCAGGGGATTTCTATAGGGCCTATACAACCTTGCTGGGCACCAAGAATATGAAAGTTTTGACTCAATTAGCTACCTCAGCTGCAAGTCTTTTTGGATGCAAATGGAAAATTGTCCAACAACAAAGGAGCATGTTTTAACATCAGTCTGGATTTCAAGATAAACATAACACAACTTCAAATACAGACCTGAAACAGCTTACACAACACAGAGCTTTTAGTCATTACAATACTATTTTCCATTTAAATAGCACCTAAAACTCTAAGTTCTACATAAACAAAGCTAGCTACAGAAATCATTTCATCATTATTCAAATGCAGCCATCCTGCATGGATAAAAGCGCACAGTAAAGCTGAGACTACGACATTCAATATTACTTTTTCTGTTTACATAATGTCTCATAAACTGAATCACTTTTGTTTTTTTCTCTTGCAAAGATGTAAATTGTTGTTAGCAGTTCAGTGAAATATTCTTCTATCTTGATCTTTTGTCCTACTTGATAACCAGTTTTTAAACTGTGCATATCAAATATTCATTGAAAAAAAAAGACTATTATTATTTACTATTCTGGGCAAGTATAATGCTTTTTTTTTTTTTTTTTTTTTTTTTTTTGTATTGTTAGAGAAAATATTTGCTGCAACAGTGAAATAGACTGCTGCTAAATCTGTATTGGTATACAAATTCAGTTTTGGTTTCTAAGGATACAAACCACAGAATTACAGAAAATATTTGGAAAATTAGACACAAAACATAAGATTTTTTTCAATTTAACTTCAGAATCCAAGCCAGACATCACTAGGTTTACTTTAGAGCTAATGAAGAGAAATATGCATTTTGAGATCGTGATTCATCTGGCATAGGTTAGATCTCTGCTTTGAGAGGGCATGAACTGAGCCCAGAAAGCCTGCCTTCACTGAGTCTAAACAACAAGCTGAGGTGTAGATGTGTGCATGGAATCAGCTGAAATCCATTTTATAAGCATCACTAAATTCACAGCCAAATGACCCAACTCTGACTGCACATCAGCACTGCTGTGCCCTTTGTACCATACAACCTCTGCTGCAACTCAGCTCAGCAGAGCTGTCCCATGCCTGAGTCCCCAGACCTTGACTCTGGGATATCTGCACCTCAGGGAGGAGGATTTTGACAAACAGGTCTGGCAGATTTAGCTGCAGTGGCCTAATCTGTTTCTGCCTGCCCTGTTGCCCATTTTCAGCAGGGGTTTTCCATGACCTTACAAGTGATGGAAGCACTGTCTACAAATTGAGACCTCAGCTGCCTGTATGTAGTCCATTATGGTAGCTCAACACCTAATTAAAACATTTTTCTATTCCAGCATTTAAACTTGAGCCCAGAGACACCAATATATATCATATTCTGCTGCTTCTCCTTCAAGGCAGTAATTTCCAGCTGATGAGCAAGGCAAACATTTGGGACAGTCCTTTTTTAAACCACAGCAGTTAAATCTGCCAGAGCTTCTTCTCAAGAGTACTAAATCGTCAGTGCCATCTTCAGCATTACCTGCGTGTTCATAATATTCTCCGTTTCTTGTAACCCTACTTTCCTTTCCTCAAATGGAGTCCAGAGGCTTTCCTTCTCTTACTGTTGTTCTGAGTATGCAAAATTTCCATGTTCCCTTCCTCTCACTCTCACAGAAATTTGCCATCAGATTGATTGCAGACCAAATAGACTTCTGCAAGGAATTTTTGCTTCTCTTATGTAGGTTGGCAGTTTTACTTAACAAGAGTCTCACAAATCACCATCTAAATGAAAGCCAACAAACTCTGAGAAAAATAGTAAACACGTCTTAGTGTCAATAGCACCTTTTGCGTGTTAACACATTGCAGGTGTACAGAAGTACCACAATTTCCTAGGGAGCAGGACAAACTTAGCATGAGTTTGCACACAAGTTTCTTGTATTTTCTTTGTGGCAAAGAGAGGATTAGAGCATCTTCCCAATGGAGAGGTGAGCAGTAACATTCAATTTTTCATCGTCTTGCGCCAAACATCTCTCAGTGAACACCTGCATAATTTATTTTTATTTATTTATTTATTTTTATGCTGCGAAATAAATCTTGGCGCTGTTTTCTGAACTGGCTTTAAAACTTCAGCACTACAGACCATGCAAAAAGAATTCAAACCCTGAAACTTTTTTTCTTTTCAAATCACCATGATTCCAAGCATTTTTTAGGATCTTTTGGCTTGTCTTGTGGGTTATAATCACAGTTTATCAACACCACCATGTTTCTAATATGATGAAATGCTATCATGTAACAAGTACACACCAGTAAGCAGATGGTAGGTGCAATTAAAGCAAAAACCTCAACCTAG